AGAGCAGTGACTGACACAATCACCAGACTGCTGTCACTCCAGGAGAGCTTTCGTCTGTGGGGACTCTTAACACTTCAGAAACCGTGGTAAAAAGTATTCTCTCCTCTATTTTTCCTTCTTCTGGTGTATAATGGCTGGAGCTACTGTAAGTCATTACATTTGGCCACACTTTGGGTCCCTGTTACACCATTCTGTAAACACTCTCTCAACAGGTTATTTACCATATAAACATAAAAATATCACGTACTCCCCACATGGTTTGGACAATGGTGAAGATTAGAATTTGATACTTAATAACTATAAATGAACTGTACCTTGCATTTGGCCTATAGTAAGGTCTCTATCCAGCCGGTCTATACCTGCAAAAATTAAACTTGAAATAATAAGCATGAAGCTCATGAAGACAGGCAAATTTTAAACCCCACTTTAAAACCAGAAGCACTGAGGCGTTGTTTTAGTAGAACTGGCTGAGAGCATATGAGATGTTACTTTTAGTGCTTCTGCAGGTGGATGAAGATTAATGTACAGTACAGTATCTCTGTTTTCTGTCTATCCATTTTTTTAAATATCTGTTGGTAGAGTGTGAAAGAGATCAACGAACCGCGTCCCAAAATTACACCTGAAGTGCAGTGTGCCTGTGGCAGGGCTGATGCTGTAAAAAATTATTTTGTCATTAAGGAACTTCTATGAGCACATAAAAAAGATTTACAGAACCCACCTGCCAGCAGTAACAGCTTTGGCACATTGCAGCTAAGAAAAAGATTGGAGATGCCTCGGAACCATCCATCCCAATATTTCTCTGCCTTGGAGAGGTCAATCCTCCAGCTGTACACACTCTGTCTCTGTGGCTGGGACCGTATTAAAATACACTCAGGCACTTCTAGTCCGCCATTTCTCGCTTTCACAAATTGTGGTATAGCTCCAAGTTCTTCGCCAACCCAAGCTCCACACTGGACTTAATTTTAGAGCAGAAATCAAGCCTTGCATGTCAAATTGAATGAGGAGGGAAAATATGTGTCATGAAAAACAGAAAGAAAGGGATGCGTGAACCTAGAGCTATACTCGAATATTTCAACCTTTTATGCACAGTAAGATTGCAGCTACTGTATTTCAGTTACGGACAATTTCAGTTTCCTTGCTCTGGATTAGATTACCTGGGCATGTTTCTCCAGTATGTAAAATACTTTTCTTCGAAGACAGAACACAAAGGCTGCAGCAGTTTTTAAAACTCACCACCATTTTATAAATAAAATAATTCACTTTAGAATGGGTCTGCAACAAAAATTCTTGCTATAAAAGTAATATTTATTTAAACATTTTGTGAAAAAAACTGCTGCAAGTGTACAACTATTACTTTTTCTGTTGATTGGTATTAAAAGTGCCATCTAGTGTTCAAAATTATAATAATTTGAAGTAAAACTAAGATTTTTTTATTTTTAATAGACAAATGTGACTAATCATACTTATTTTGTTTCCTCTCTTTAACTGAGGTTTCTGAGCAGAAACACTGCTCTACATGCAGAGAATTTTAGTTTGAAAATCTTTACTTTTTAAAACGGTTGTATTTTATTCTCAACAACTTCTATTTTCAACAATACTAGTTGGGCTAGACTCTGTTGACTTGATTATCTCATCTTTAATTTGATTTTTGTGCTCTTGTTATTTCAAATATCCTTCCTTTGAGCCATAACGTTCCTACAAATTTAAAATTCAACATTTTTACAGTTGTTCATATTTATGTAAGCCTTAAGGGCTTGTGGCGCTGCCTGATAACCAATGACATTATAGCCTAAAGCATAATATAACAGTATATGAGGTAAAAGTTTATTTTTACACAAAAAAGGATATTATTCTGTAACGTACTGTTTCTATTATATTAACTCTTTTTTCTTTGTTTCCACAATTAAAGCTTTATATAAGCTTTTCTTTTTTAGCTGCAAAACTTTCCATTATTTTGTTCTAGTTTAATTTGTTTTGATAAACTTCTAACAAAATATTATCAAGCATTCTTTTGGTAGAAAACAATAGGTTAGTATTACAATGTTTATGGAAAGATCGGTCACTTACCTCCAGCTCAGAGAAGCTCACCTCTGATCTTGCATTTTCAGCTTTATCAGTGACATAATTGAGATCATAAAATTCCTCATGTCCCTCTGCAACCACATCATTGACAGGATTGGGCTGTTCTGATGGCACCATGTCCACATTTTCACACCTAAATACCATAAACAGCACTGTGTTCACTGTAGTTAGTTCTAACAATTACATTAACCCTATTCACCAGAATTACAACAAACTGCAGCAAAACTTTCCTTCTTGAATTACTCCATACTTCAACAAATCTCAATATATTACAGTACACCACACCGAAATGTGAGTTGCACATGCAGGATTTAGATTTTATGATCAAACAGAATGTAAGAATGTAGCTTTTGTGAATGCAAAGTAAGTAGCATTGGAAGTGTTAATTAATGCATGTATTCATATTTCCATTCGAGTTTAAATATGAATAGTCCTTAACTAAGACTATCGTTCAGTGGTTAGAAGCCTACCTTGCAGTAATTGTGACCATTAATATGCTTTTATGCATTAGCGCTTTAGTGGGGGCAAAAGAGGGGTATATATAATCAGACACAACAAGAAAAATAATTTAATATTTTGTAGTTTATATCCATTTAACATGTAGTTTATTAGGAAAGAAATAAATATAAAGGACACACAATACTGTGACACTGAATGTGAATGTACTAAAGAAGTAGTCCATTTTCCGCTTAACTTCACTGGGTTCTGGGTATTTCACATTGAACTTATGAGTATGTTGTCAGGCAGAATAAGATGCAGTTCTTACATAGAGTATCTTTATTCTGTCAATAGAATTGCCAAACTACAGAAAGATTATATCTTAATATCAGTTTTAAATTATGACTGCTTGGTGAGTGAAAAATGTTTCCAAGAGGAGTAATATTACTATTGTGCTGATTGTAATAGGTACAATCTATACAATTGCTTTAAATTGTATCCCACAGCTTTGCACAGATTGCAACATTATTCAAATAATCATTGTCAATACTGTCAAAATATTTTGATGTCCAACTCTTTCCCTTTATCTTCCAAAATGGTAAATACAGTATGTCTCTACAGTACATTTCTTTTCCTGTAATGAACATAAAGCAGGTTTCAGTGTATTTATTGCTCCATTAATGTTATAAGAGCTTTCATTTATTCTGCTTTTTTTCCTGATTCTGTGCTAGAAGCGTCTGAAACTTCCTCTGATCTCTATTACAATTGATAATGTGCAATTCTACTGTTCCAGTGGTTTCTAATGGTAGGGCCCAACATAGACCACAAAGGTCAAGGCCAATATCATACGATAGGGTAGATTCATTTTGAGTTTGGAACATGTTCGAAACACTGTAAAATGTTCAGTGAAAAAAAGTCTTAAAGTTAAATTGATTAATCTATCAGTTTCACAGGCAGAATGTAACAAATTATTCTGATCAGACTGTTGTTTTCAAAGTTCTGAAGTACCAGAACTACCTAATGAACTTAATGTACAGTAATTTATTGAATAATAATAATAATAATAATAATAATAATAATAATAATAATAATAATAATAATACCTTCTTACTTGACCAACCATAGATACTTTTGCTGACTCCAGGTTTCTGATCTGTCCACTTTTAATACTGAAAAGAAAATAATCTTTATTGAAAACTGAACAAGAAACAATGAAAACACAAACAGCAAAGGGGCTGAAGAACAAACCTCCACTCAATGGCATGGTCAATGGATTTAAATGTTTTTGGCCTCCCTCTGAGAAAGTTCTGCATGCTGTGGAGCACATCCATAGCACTACCTAGAATCAGAAGAGTGTGAGATTGTATACAGTACGTTCTTTTTAGAGTGACTTGCCTAAAAGCCAAAGTTAGAAAGTAATCGATCTTATAAGCTGTATTAGAGCATGTAGTAACATACCCCACATGACAAGTAACTGGTTGAATTAACTACAGTGTATTATGTCCTTATTAAATGGCTTTCTTGGCTAGTCCCCTATCTTCTTCTACACACATTGTGAAACAGTGTAAGTATTGCATCCTTAATGATCAGTCATTGAACGGCAGATCCATAGGTTACTCTTTAACATCAGGGTGACTGCCTTCCCTTATTAAGCTACGTTCTGCCTTTAATTCACGTGTCCTCAACCCAGCAAATCCAGCCCTTCACCTTCTACCACATCAATGACCACCAGGCCGACCACAGAAGGAATCAGGTTGCTGGTAGCTGTGTGAATTGCGATGGCTCCTCCCATGTTGTGTCCCACCAAAATCAACGGGGGCGGAATCTCTCCGTAAATTGTTCGCACTACATTAGCCACATCCCTGGAGAGGAAGAAACCATGTGCACTTCACCATGTCGACAACTGAGGAATGAGAAAGCCCTCTCTGAAATCACAACGCCTCTTAATCGTCCATGTTCCAAACAGACACATGAAGGTGGCTCCCCTTTCTCAGTGAATGGTGGCTGCTTGTGCGCCCTTTTTCTCCTTTAGGATACACTAACTCCACTGAGTCAAGAACTATGTTCTCTGTTTTCCCTTCTTTGATATACACAACAATTAAATCAGAATACACAATGAACAACTTTAGGATTTTGATTATAAGCCATTTGAAAATGAACAAAAGTGGTAGGCTGATCTCTCTAATGTGGAACAACAATCCTTTGCTGCATTGTATTGGGATGGAAAGCTGATTTGGAAGAAATGTTATAGGAATTGTAAATGAATAATGCAGATTTCTTATAAAGTCAATTGGCCTCTTCTGTTGAATGTATTGTGAAAACTATGCACTGGGGGATATGGATATGGATAAACAGTTTATGGATCCCACTCCTGGTGGACACAAGTGTCACCAGATGACACGCAGTACATTTCTACGGTGCAATATCACTTGCAAACTTGCTGATGTAAGGCTGATGTGAGTGCTGCTGCATTTACAGTAAATGGGAACATATTCAATTCCATTTAAGATTAGATAAGATCACTTTATTGGCCATATACAATTTCTTGTATTTAGGACCAAGAACTGGTGGCACATCTTTACACAAAGGGTGAAAGGAGTCAGGAGCAAGCTACTGAGATATAATATTAGGACTATTAGGACTATTGAAGCCTAAAGCCTGGTTTTCTTCAAGAAATTGATTAAATACTCAGATCAGTTGTCTGCTAGTAACCCAATGGCCTAGATAGCTTCCCCTTGTGTGTAACCTTTCTTAACTTCTCAAATTAGTTTTATTGTTTCCTTATTCACAAGAAAATTTGACTGAGAGATTGGTCTCAATCAGGTGGCAGAAAGAAATGTTTAAAAATGAATAAACAAAACAATACAATTCCTACCTGGACATAGTTTGTGTTGACAGGTCGTCAGAGTTTCGTACTTGTGTATCACCTATGCAGTCATTGAAGGAACAGTGTGCGTAAGACAACAGCTTTATTTTCAGAGAGTAATCTACTACTTTTGATTGATATTGTTTGTTTTTAAACAGTGTGTGAATTCATTGTCTTTCATCGTCATATTACTGCTTACAGTAGCTATGTCCAGTAACTGATTCCATATTGTTGCAAAAGTGAATGATGAATAACAAGCCTGTTTTTCCTCTGAGAAAACTGAGGAATTTGCCCAGTATTAGACACTTTGATCAGAAAGATCCAGCAAGCCATTTAACAGCTGATTAATAATTTAATTTTGTCTGTTAATGACATTTTTAGTCTTTCAATCTTTTTTTTTTGCATTGAAAGGGGAAGATTGAGAATCTATGTTGAAAACAGATTGTAATTATTCCATTAATACCTTAATACCTTTTTAAACCCTAATAAATGTTAAATATTTTCCATAGTTTAAAACCAGCTTTATATTGTAAAGCGAAAGAGAACAAAGACTGATTTTTTTGGCGATGACCCCTGTTTTCAATTGTACTTAAAACTCTAGTGTCGACATTTATGCTTTACCTTTCAAACTTAGTATTTTTTTAAAAATCATATTCATTTTGTATTTCAGACTATTGCTAATCGATACAAAGTACAACACTATTCTTACCGTGACCCCGCAGATCCATGGCCAATACTCTGCAGGTAACTCTGCTAGTCATGGCTGCCTAAGAGAGAGGCAGTGTTAAAATTTTCATGTGCACCTACTATACAAGAAACACCTACTGTATTTTCTCTAGTCAAGCTTGGCCTGCACTTTTGAAGAAAAAAGTTTTCACGAAAAAAGAGCTGCACTTGAAACAGTTAAGATTGATGCCGCTATCAGAATTTGATACAATATAATTAAAGTAGATTTTTTTTGTCAAATGAAGCCAATAAAATTTATTTAAATAAAACATAAAAAATATTGTTTCAGTAGGATTCGGTGTTTGCACTGTATTGTATATTAGACATCAACAGCAGCAATTTAGTGTATCGTAATAAAAAGGTAACAATCATCTATAACATTTTATTGCTTTGCATCACATCATGCATTGCACTTTTGATTACTTAGTAATAGCTATTGCAGACCTTAAAAGGAAAATGTATTTGCATGCTAAATGGTTAAAATCTGAATATTTAATTTTTGTATTAGTTCAACTTATTGTTTTTGTTTTTACAGTTTTTAATCCCACAATACATGCGTTCTTTTTAAAACGGTTTGTCTGTCACTGCCAGCGGATTTCAGTTCACCCACCGGTAGCGCTAGAAAACCTTGCTCACAGTGATGTTTTGCAGACATTTCCGGGGTTCTGCTATACTGTCAGTACAACAACAAGCGACCACAAGACGTAACAACGGAAAGCCCATACAGTGAAAACGGCCCACGAGAGGGCAGAGTGTCCCCCGCCGTGTAACAGAACCAGAACTGGGCCATCCAATCCACTCTTGTAGACGCGAAAGATGTTCCAAATGCTAAGGAATGACAATGGAAAATGTATTTTCCCTTTAAAGATTTAATACGCGCAGGGACTAAATATGTAAAACATATTTCTTTTAAATCAAATCACTAAATGAATTGAGATGTAATGGTTGCAGTGCTGTTGTGCTGTCTCCGTATTTAATGCACGTTGGCAGAGTGCAATGATTGGCACTGGACAGACAGATTTATTCATAATACAAAAATCAGTTTAAAAGTGGATTATCAGTGGATTACTGGGGAATGCCAAATATACGTGTTTGCAATAATTGTTATTCTTTGCTTTCTACAGAAGAAATAAAAAAACAAGGCATTGGACATGAATGTAATGAAAAAGTGAAAGAATAATTTGGATGTATTTAAAAAAATAAAACTGGCAACTTGCCATCACAGATTTTGCTTCTGTGTTTGGCATTATTCAAATATTTTAAAACGTTACATAAACCGTTTGAGTAAGAACCCTGCCCAAACATGGCTTTTATGATATCTGGTGTTTTGCAAGTCCTACAAGGTAAACCGTGAGTAAGGCGTGCCATTGTACTTTGAAAAGGATATATCTTTGTTCTCTCCTGATCCCACAACAACATCATCCATCATTTCAAAATATTCACTCCAGGACACTGGTGAATAGTCTCGCTTTCTTCCCACACCGTGGCTGTTAGGAAAAGAAATCCACATCTTGCACTGAGTAATGTCCTGAGATTGTTTCAGATCAAAGAAACTTAATTTAAAAGGTTTCAGTTGTATGTTAGCAAGCAATGTTATCAATATATCATTTTTAATTAGTGGACAATATTTGTTGAATTTCATTATGCCTATGTTGTGTGCATGTATGTGTTTATTCCCAAACAGGCGAGAATGCTCATTTGAAATACGTCCGCAGTGTCTCCACCTCTTTTGTTATGCTACCAACAGGTTTTCCTTCACCTGGTGAACCAGAACTGTACCAAATCATTACAGTAAGTAGGAGTCATTAAATTATTCTTGATGGGAGTTTTTCCTTTTTTTTTTCATTTAAAGGGCTATTGTATTGCTGTCCCTGATCTTAAAATGTGAGGTGAAATGTATCATAGTATGTAAAGAAATAGACTTTATTATTGAATTATAGGATCATAATAAAGCATTTTCTTTATGGTAAATTTATGAGGATCAAGCTTTGCAGGGAAGATTAAATTGATGTTAGAATCCCCACGCCTCTGTAGCAAATTCTGCTTTCTAATAATATTCAAGCCCCTTAAGCCATTTTATAATGACCTCAGTGTCAAAGCAATCATTGTTTTTTAAATTTTAACAATGATTTGAAAAAGGTTCATAACAGTAATTTTAACCTTCTCAGTTCCAAAAAGTTTATTTTTTTGTAGAAAAATGTTGTTGCCTATACTTTGGAGGGTCAGGAAGAATTCCAATTAAATCTGGATTGTTAACTACCACCATTTTGATTAATGCATGCCTATACCGTATATAAATTGAAACAGATGGTGAGCTGGATGACTAAGCTATAATATGGTAAATTATATTATGATGGTAATATTTTCTTTAAACCAAATAAACCTTTACAAATCCTTTCCAAGGAAACTAAATAATGCTGTTTGAAAATGGTGATGATGAATGGAAGGACTTTTATACCAGTAAATATTGCAAATGTTTTTTAAATTACTCCAGCCTATCTACAGTATATCTGTACATTGCAATGAAGTAAATCATATCACAGATCTTTGACTTCAAGGTACTTTCAAAGTTCTCTGTTTCTGCACTACTCATGATATCTTTAGAAAAAAGGCAGACATATTCTTAAACAAACCCAGTTTTGAAAATTCTTTGACATGTATTATGTACATTGTATCGTTAATTTGCAGTAGTTGTTTATTTGTCTATTTGTCTATTTGCAGAGACGTTTCTTCTCTTAAGGCAGAGCAGAGTGGAAAGTTACCTAAAAGAGCTACAAGAACAGGCATTCTCAGGCAAGCTTGTCATTCGCATTCTCAAATTTCAAAATAAGTGGAACATTTCCTGAATTCCAATTTGAAAACCATAAAGTAATGCGTTTTAAACCTGAAACAGTGCAAAACTGCCTGTAAGATATTCATCAGAAAACATTTAAAAGGCAAAGATATGGAGAGGCAAATCTGCAATGTGCCTGCTTGAATGAACTTTAAATCAATAAAATACTTACTGTTCTGTGTCAAAATCCTCTTCCCACATTTTGTAAAGGTAGACGACTGAAATTAGATTGGAGATGTGAGCCAAAACTGAAAGTCTTGAGGAGGACCGAAAATGCCATATAAAACTGACTATGCCAGCAAATCTTCAAAACCTAAGTACCTGACAAGTGTTCATGTGAACAGAAAGTTGACATATGGAGCCGACAGGCGACACAATAGGTATGCTGGGATAGCCATTACAGAGTTTTACATTGTTCTCTCAAAGTCACTGTTTGAACCTATACAGTGTTCAGTATCAGGGCAAAATAGTGAAGGGAGTTCACAGTAGAAATGCACCAAAGAAGATACAGCCTCTTACAAACTCACTGTAATTAGAAGATTAAAATACACTGTTGGCATTTGTTGCTTTTTGTTTATTAGTATTTTTATCTCTCCTCATGTTTCTGAAGCAGCTCAATGCATACAGTTTGCATTGTGTCTTGTGTACTTGTGATCTAAACACACTGTTATTGATTTGAAGACAGTAAATAAGTTAGTGGACATTGATACATACTGTAGAACTCATCATTAGTGCCTGTAAGACAGATGCATCGTTTTACTAGAATAATAAACAAATTTGATAGACATGTAGATGTAATGATTTTGGATGAAGTACAGTAATTGCATTTTGCCTCTAGGTCAGCAATCCTTGGGAAGATTTACCTTCTTACTGCTGGGCATCAGCATGAAAATGGTGTTATCCATACTGAAAATAAAATTATATAAACAAATTCCTTACTTAAATATACATCTATTTTTATCATGTTAATATTCTCCAAACAAGTAATATCTGTAAAAATGGACACTAAGTGAATGTAGCAGTTGCATTGTTACATTCTTCAGCCAATGATAGTTTAAAATATACAACCTGCTCATTTATATTTTATTTTCTGTTAATTGCCTGGTGTCGTTATATGCTGTCATACTAAAAAGTGCTTGTCTTAAAGGTCAGTATTTACAAAGATCTTCAAAGCAGTTCTGAGGAAATACAGTGTTCTGGAAAAGTACATCCCCTTAGGAATTTTTGGTTTAACATATTTACAGGTACACATTTGACTTTGATCTAGTCCTCACCAAGTCCTAATGTAAGACAAAACTAACCCCATCTGACAACACACACAAATTCTACTTTGTTACACAGGTCTCTTTAGGTACCACCACAGCATCTCTTTGGGCTTTAGGTCAGGTCTTTGTCTTTGCCATTCCAAATGCCTGAATTTATTGTTTTTGAGCCATTCTGTTGTACACTTCCTTGTGTGTTTAGGATCACTTTCCAGTTGCATGATTCACTTTTGGTTCAACTTTAGCTGTCAGACAGATGGAGACTCAATGACAGCAATGCATCCAGACACTTCTATCCTGAGGCAGCAAAGCAGGCTCGAATCATCACCCCTTCACCAGTGTGTTTAATTTCTTACATGAGGTTCTTCAGATTAAAGGCAGTTTTTGATTTTCTACTAACATGATATTTTGCATTACGGTCAAACAACTCCTTTTTTGCCCCATGTGATGGTGCTTCATTCATCAAATTTTACATTTGTAATGGTAAGAGCAAAGCAGTGACTTTTTATAAGTCACCTATTGGAATGAAAATTAAACACACATGGCTTAATTGATTAAATGGCATAAATGATTGCCTCTGTGGGTAACAGGCCACATCTATGGATTAAACTCCCGGTATATATTAGTACCCAGGAGGACAAGGGAAGGAAGTCCATATCTAGACTGCTGCAGGAGTGAAGGAGCTCAGAAATCATTGTAAAGAGTCTAGATTGTAAGTATTGTAAGGCTCCTGTACTTTAACACCAGCAGACAACCTTGCAGTCTCTATATTAAAAATTGGTTAATGTGGGTGAGAGTATGAGTGAAGAACTTGCAAAGGACTTGTGATAATTGAAAGAAATTGTTGTAAAGACTGGGAGTAAACCTTGTGAAGTGCATCAGAGCGTCTCAAAGTAGAAGAGGGAGATGTTTGTGTTTCATGTAATGGTGAGACCCGAAGCAGTCGAGATGAATTCACCTGTTCCAGCTTCCCTGAGATTGACTGAAGAAGGAAGCATTGGCCTGAAAGTGGAGAGGTATTGAAGTGAATGTTCTACTTAAAAGCTCTGATGGAGGAACTGAACAGTGGACTGTTCGGGCCTCTCTGTAAGGGACCACTGGTACATTTAGGAGCCCAGAGGGGTTCTGTCTGCAGGACACAGTGACATGACAGACCTCACTCAGACACGCGAGTGTAAAAGAGATATATTGTCTCAGTAATTCGAGGGTTTTGCGGCTTTCACCACAAAAGTGTTCCAGAAGTCTCGTTTCTCATTCAAGTGTTGTTTTACAAACTTAAGCCATGTACAGTAGCTGTGCTCTTCTTGGTGAGCAGGGACTATCCTGGCTATCCTTCCATGAAAGTCATTCTTACTCAATCTTTTCCTCAATGTGGACTTTACCATAGTGAGAGAGGCCTGTAGATCCTCGAATGTAATCCTTGGGTTCTTTGAGACTTCTAGGACCATCATAAAATCAGATCTTGGAGAGAATTTGGTAGAATGTCCACTCCTGGGTAGATGGGCAAGGGTCCTGAATTTTCTCTAGTTGT